ATATGAAGCACAATTAAAGTTCGTATTTTGTTGACACTGACATTGGCCTCGCTGACAACGATCCACATAAGTCCATTTAAAACATTAAACTGTTCACTGATGGCTGTGTAAAGGTGAGTGTATAAGGGTGTCAATCCGTTTTTTAGGGTTAGTCTGTAAAGTAGTTTTTGAATAGTCTCTGTTCATGCTCTTGGGTTTTCGGAGATATGTGTATTTCTTTGAACATCAATTACAGAGTCGGGGGGGGGGTTAGGACAATTCCAAGGGCTCCCGGGTGACAGGGGGCCCTAAATAATTTGGAAAATAGCTGGATTGGTCTGGACTGGGGGGCCCAATATAATATGGGGCCCAAAATATCTAACAAGGCCCTTGGTCAGAGTGACTGCATATGTGTGCACAGCGATTCACTGCCGTTCCTCTCAGCGTATACCCCAGGCACATGGCAACGTAGTGAAATAATGACCCCCCCATCCCCAAAAAACAAAAATAAAGGAATGTTACGGATCAAGCATGTAACCAGGTACGAATGGCGCATTTACTTAGGGAACCTGTCCCCTCATTGGTTAAATCTAGGGCATCTTGCGTGGGGAACCGCACCCTACAGTCAAAATGTATCCCCCGCCCCCCTCCGCCAGGTCGCCAAAATCTCCCAATAGGGACCTATCCACCGCTTATTTACTTATAAATTTAATTTTATTCTCCTGAGGCAAGTCACCCACACAGTGATGCAACATCAAGAGTGTAATGTTGGCTCCACCCAGTGGTGAGAAAGTGCCATTACTAACCCCAACAGATTAAATTGACGGAACACAACACCATCTCGCCAAACTTCACGAATAGTCAGTGAGGTCATTATATGAGGAAATGATCGTGCAGATCAGATACTCCTCTCACAGGCGGTTTCTGAACTGATGCCTTGGGCGTTCAGCATAAAAAAAAAAACAGTTCTGGTACCCTTATGGAAATGAGATTTGATCCAACAAATATGATAAACACCTGTAGCTCCTTATGTGTAGCATTGCCCTAACAACACAAAGGTTATGGGTTCAAATCCTAAGAAGCAGACAGAAATTGTAACCCTTCCCTCTACTGTAAATTGCTTTTGGATAAAAGCACGAAGTGTAATAAGCATCACTTGATATTCACTAAGCACAGCAGTAGAGAAAATAATTCAATTTCAAGTATGCCAAGATCATATCAAGGATACGGCTATCAGAAGAGAGCAGTGAATGTTCATGGACAGAGTTATGTATGGCAGAGTGCCATGTTAGTGATGAACTACAACAACAGACCAGTTACCTTATATTAGAGCGTCATTATCGGACAGCCACATTATGAATATCATTGCAAACACCAGCATAAGGACATAAGGACAGCAGTAATACCATCCTTATCCCCATTGCATCATCTATTTATTACTTATTTATTGTTAACTTAGTGTTGTCTTTTAGTGCACTACTGTTTGTCCTGTATTTCACTGCTGTTAGGGCTCCATAGCCATGCTCGGGAGGTTGCCAGGTCGAATCCCATGCCTGGCAAAATTATTTTACCATTGTGTCCTTGATCTTGACCCTTGACCCTAATTGCTCCATGCTGGCTGACCCTTTCACAAAATGTTTAGTGGATTTTTTGAAAGTAACTATGATCACGTATTACCTGAGTACAACTATAATATCGTGTGCACAAAGTGACATATATGCATACAGTGGAATTGCACTTAACAGAGAAGCAATGGCCATAAACATTGACAGGATGTTAAATTATTCTCATCCATATATAACTGCAATTCATAACATAAACAGCGAACATCTTTCTTATCATTAATTCTCAGCAACTTTCATCTTTAATGATCCAAAATCATTAAGGTTCTCCATAAAATTTGTTTAATGATTGCAATTCAAAAGACCGTTCGACACTTCCAGCAAGACATTCACTAAGAATTCCATTAAAATGAAATATGTATAAGCACAGAGCATAATATTAATTCAACTCCAGTTGTACTCATTAATAATAATAGATGTGTAGGTAAGCATAAAATTTGATTTTACTGTCACCCTAAACTGGCCAGTGTTAGGAGAGGCGCAGTGACTCAGTGGATTGCTCCCCATTTGTGTGTTAAATCCTACCTCTGGCCTTCGTCTGTGGTCATGTACTCCCCATGTACTCCCTATGTACTCCCTATGTACTCCCCATGTACTCCCCATGTACTCCCTATGTACTCCCTATGTACTCCCCATGT